GTTTCTTCCTAAACTCTGGGGTGTCATGATTCAGAGAGGTTACACAAGAGCAAATGGTTTGAAGCAATATTCCAATTTGATAGAGGCTCATGAAAAAAATATTTCCTATTACAGAAGAGCTGAACTCAGTCTTTAAAAAGGTTTTGAGCAGGTGTGAGGTGCTGTCCTTTTGAGAATCTCTTCAAGTCTGTAGTTTAAAGATGTGATAGTGGGGAGGGAGGGCTGGGTAACCTTTTTATATGTGCATACTTTATTATACCAGTATATAAACTTGTGGTATAACCGTACACCATAGTTGCAGGTTAACCAAATAGTTACTATCTTAGAGTAATGTATATTCAGAATAATAAAAACTCAAGCTGGAGAAATGAAAAGGAAAAAAAAGGGATCAAATGGCATATTGATTCAGGCCAGTCAATCTGCTGCAAACTATCTCTGTAAAGTGTTAAAGAATAAGGATTTCCCTTTGAGGACTAGGTGTATCTGAAACAAGTAATGATACATTCAATTGCCTTATATCCATGCATAAGCTGGAATATTATTTAGGAGGACCTAAGAGGAGTTAGCCATGGGGTGTTTGAAGGTCCGTTGTTTCAGAAGTGGGTCACTGATCCTTCTTCTAAGTCTGTCTTAATCTAGGAGTTCTGTTGCAACCTGTCCACTGTAGGTGACTCTCCTGGTACTTGACACAAGTGCCACAGACTCCAGCATTACAGCATTCTGCAAGCTACACCAGTACAGCAGACAAGTGCTATACTAATAGGGGCAAGTAATAATAGCCAAGCCTATTAGCTTGCTATAAAGCCAAGCTATAAAGTAATTGGCAACATGCAAATCATTCCCTGATAAACTGACAGATAGGTCTTGTACCTCTAAAATAAAACCATAAACACAAACAGGCATACAAATATCATGAACAGGACACCCTTTTCACAACCCATTGGAGGTCTATGGTGGTGCAGCAGAATGGGATCCTGGACGGGGTTACTGGCACAGACAGTGGCTCAGCTGGATTTTTTAGTACTGGTTCTTAGCACAGGTTCAAGGGCCACTAGACTTGGGTGAGGCCTCATCTGCCTTCTTCATCACCCACAGACCTTTGCTCCGGGTGTCATGATCCTTTGTGGGGCCACATCTGAGGTACATGTCCTTCTAAATCACCTGCTCTACATCAGAGAGCTGGACAATTAATAAAGAATTAATGTCTTTGAGTTGTGGTCCTGGAAACAGTGCTGAATATCCCATGGACTGTCAAAAGAATAAACAGATATGGCTTAGAAAAAGTGCAGCCAGAGTGTTCCTTGGAGGCAAAGATTGTGAAACTTCATCTTTCGTACTTTGGACATGTGGGTAGATGAGACTATTCTTTGGGAAGAGACATCATGCTTATACACATGAAGGGTCAGCAAAGGAAAGGAAGATCTATAACAAGATGGATTGGCACAGTGGTTATGACAACGAGTTCTAGTATGTCAGAGATGATGATAATGACAGGATAGAGCAGGGTTCAAGTCAGCTATGGATAGGACCACTGTAAGTTGTACTCAACTAGACAGTCCCTAATAAGAACAAGAAGATCTGATGCTTTAGAATGATAGTGTGGTAAAGAATATTGAAATTCTATGAACCTTTGATAAATTTTGATAGTTGTAGAGGAGTTTCAGGACTTTTGTTTATAGGGTCGTTATGAGTCGTGCTCGACTCGAAGGCCATCAACAACAACAACTCTATGAATATGAACCAACAATGACACGTAGGAACAACAAAAATAAAATTATGGTAATTTATTACATAGTAAAAAAAGCAAATGTATGCAACATATAAAAAAGATTACAGAAAGTGGTAATTTTATATTGTTATAAATTTTATATTGTTATGTTGACTTTTTATGAGGATTGATTTTTTTTACTGCTATTTTAATTAAAGTTTGTAAAGAACGTGGATTTCCATTCATTCATTGTTGCACATTTTCCTTTCTGTCCCCCACTAGTTTGCTTTTCTTTTGGGGAAAAAAATAATCTTTCATTGTTGTATAATTCCCTATCCCCACTCCAGTCCACTTTACTAGGCAACTCTTATTCTGGACTGTTATCATACAAGTAATACCTAATCATATATTCCTTTTAAGCAGTTCTTTCCCTCACCTGTGCTACTATTGTAAAACAGGACAGACATCGGGGTTGGGTTGAAACTAAGAGGGGATTAATAGTTATGATATTTTTTAAAGTGACAATATACACATGTTTCTTTTGTTTTAGTGTGTCTGTCTATTCCTCCCTCTCCCTCACATTGACGTCAAGTCAGAACCCACTTAGAGTTGTCATTCCATTGGGTTTTGGAGGCTACAAATCACACAGGAATGATTGCTCAGCTCTGTCCTGAGGAGCTACTGACGGATACAAATCACCAGCGAGGTGCTGCCTTAGGGTGGGCAGTCAAATTCTCTACATGCTGCCTCCAGATTTTCTTGTTTTATTGTAAAGTAATACATTTTTTCAATATAAGCCTCCAGTAGGTCTAATTGAGACACACCTCTCAGTCCACAGGTAGAACATTATCATTATTATGTCCCTTTTTATTTTATTTTACTGTTTATTTTTATTCCTTTACTAGGCTCACTACTTAGAGTTGTAACTAACTCATAGCTGACTCTCATAGTGAGTTTTCAGAGGCAATAAATATCAAAAGTGGAAATTGCTCATCTTTCTCTTGTGGAGCAGCTGGTGGATTTGAACCACCTGCCTTTGGGTTGTTCATTGTTTCTCCAAGTTCATAGAGTTTCCAGAGGCAAGCTATTTAAGAAGTGGATGCCACTCCTGTTTCCAAGCTTGTTTTAATCCAGAAGCTCCACACTGTCCACCCTGGGTAACCATGACCTCATTCGACACATCCGTGTCACAGTGTTTAGCATCACAGCACCCACAAGTACAGCAATTGGACAGAACAGTGCTATACCACTTAGAAGGATGTTTGACCAAAAACAATTAAAACCAGTCCTGAGGGCCATAGTTTAAAATCACCCACTTTTGCCTTGGTAGCATAACTTTCTATCCACTAGGCCAACAGAGCTCTCTCTATGTTGTTGTTGAGTGCTATTGAGTCATAGTTGACTCATAGTGACCCTATGAACTAAAGACCTGAAGACTTGCATAACTTTCATCATTTCTCTGTATAACTTGTATAGCTTTCATCGTTGACCTAGTGGATAGAAAGTTATGGGACTTTTCCAGAGTACTGAAGAACAACAATATCCGTCTGGAGACTAAGGTTAACCTGATCTAGGCCATGGTCTTCACAATTACTAGCTATTCATCAGAAAATGACCAAAGATGACAGAAGAATGGATATATTTGAGTGGTGGTGCTGGAGAAGAGTATTGAACATGCCAAGGAATGTCAAGAAAATGAACAGGTCTGTCCTAGAGAGGGTGAAACCAAGCTGGTCCTTGGAGCCACAGATTTTGAGATTCTGTTTCATGTACTTTGTTCATGTACCCAGGAAGGATCAGTTTTTGGAGAAGGATCTTTGGTAGGATCAAGGGACAGCACAAGAGAGGAAGACCCTGGATGAGAGGAATTGACACAATAATTGGGATAATGAGAGTAGGTATGTCAGAGACAGTGAGATTAGCTCAGGATAGAGCAGAATTCAAAGCTATTGTACATAGGGTCCCTATGAGTCAGTGCTGACTCAATGGCACATAACAAAAACAACAAGGGTCACTAGGATTCAGTATTGACTTGACTACACTCAAAAAGAAGATGCTAAAGCAATGTGAAGGGTTAAAAGAAGACTGAAAAAAGACTAATTTCTGATTCGTTCCCTCTAACAGTTATAATGAATTTACATGAAAGGAATTATTGGTTTCTTTTTTTGGAACAGAGATCAAGATATTTTTTTTGCAAAAAAAATTAATGCTTTTTTTAATGCAACATAGATATTTTTTATAGCATATTCTTTCCATTTAATTTTCCCCCATTCATTCATTGTTGCACATTTTCCTCCCTGCCCACCTCTCCCTCCCAGCTCATTTTTCTTTTTGAAAAGAAAAAAAATTCTTTCATTGTAATACAATCCCCCCAAGTTCACAGTCCACTTCACTATGCATTTCTTTTTATATAATCTTGTCATTAAAATAATGCCTAATCCTATATTCCTCTTAAACAGTGTTGACAACTTGAATTCTTACTTTGAAAATTATCTGTGAAAATTACTTGTGTGGAAAGAAAATCTATAAAGCCAAGGAGATAAGAGTATGGACTTTGACCCAGACTGACTGGATTTGAATGTTGGCTTTCCTGATGATGACTGTTATCGCCCAGTGAACCCTAGTAGCCTTGTCTGTAGGGAGTTGCACTGTTAACCAAAAGATGACATTTCACTGGAGGTTCAAATCCACCAGTGGGTTCACAGGAGACAGAAGGGAAATATCTTTTTGTGCAATTTATGTAGCCTTTGAACATCCACTGAAAGGTCAACTATGAGTCCAGTCTGACTTAAAGGTAATGAAAGTTTGTTAGTTTTTTGGTTTTGGTGTTTTGTTTTTTTAAATTGTCAATCTCATTTTACAGATAAGGAAACTGAGTTGCTAAACATTTTGTCCAAGGTCATACAGCTGGTAAGCAGCTGGTGCTGAATGTTGTAGTCATTTGGTGTCATAAATTTGGCTTACACATACGGAAATTCTATGTACAACAAAATGTTGCCTCACTTAGTACCCTCTTCATAGGCATTGGTTTATTAGAGTCCTTGTTGCAGACATGATCTCCTTCAGGCACTTTTGCCTTTTGATAACATGTTCAAAGTATATGTGATGAAATCTCGCCATCCTCACTTAGGAGGAAGTTGGACTTAACAGTCAGTTGAAGGGGGGAATGGAGAGAGTTGGAGACAGAAAATTAGAGTTCCTATAGGATCATATGGACTATCACAAAAAATTAAGTTGTGGTTTAACACGTGGACTGTGACAAATGACTTTTTGTTTTCTTCTCTCACTTCAGGCTTCTGATGTCCCCATTGAGGAAGGTCCAGTGACCAGAACGGGAGCAAGGGGACCCATTATGTCCATCTATTTCAGAGATCCATTATGTCCATCTATTTCAGAGATCGTGACAGAAACCTGGTTGAGGTATCCAACTATATCTCCTCATAATTCAGACTTGTCTTTATATATTCTTCTTCTTTCCTGCAAACATTTATCCACCATCAGAGCCCTTCAAGTACTGAAGATTTAAGTAGTTTATGTTTTCCTGAGATGAATTTGCAATCAAACCTATTGACCTGAGCACTCTGCACCTAAGTTTCTTCAATAAATTAATTTCCTCTCAAATACCATGAACTCTTTATTATTGTTTCAGAGCTATGTATGGGTCTTTGTTTCAGATGTGAAGTCTCTGGTCTGTTTGGGTGTGACTGGCTAGGTTATGACACCTTTTATATCCAAATCCAGACACATTCCCTTGGAATTCAATGCCCTTGACTGATTTCTTCAACTAATGCATACATATTTTTTTGCTCCTGTTTCAAACTTTCTGACTGCTGTTTATGCCACATTCTTAGCATGAATATCAAGACCTCTTATAATTCACATTTATGGTGATGTCAGAAAAATTGATGCCTTTGAGCTGTGGTGGTGGCAAGTGTACTGAACATCTCATAGATTGCCAAAAGAACAAACAAATATATAGTGGAGAGTATAGCCAGAGTGCTGTTTGGAGGCAAAGATGATGAGGATTTGCCTCACATGCTTTGGGCATGTTGCTAGGAGGAGCTATTCCTTGCAGGAGGATATGATGCTCAGAAAGGTAGAGGGTCAGTGAAGGAGAGGAAGAACCTCAATCAAGTAGATTGACATGATGACTGTTGCAATAGGCTCTCATATGTCATGAAGTATGAGGATGGCACAGGATAGGACAGAGATCAGATCTGTTGTTCATAGGATCACTATGGGTCGTACTTAACGACACCTAACAACAATAATTCACATCAAACCTTCAAGGATCAACCCAGGTGATATTGTGTCCTCCTGGAAGCCTTCTCTGAGTTCACTCCTGAATATTTAGCACATTTTGCCTGAGCATCTGCTATGTCAAGACTTGTTTCTTCTGTTTCTATTCCACTCACACACTTCTCACTCATTCAGCAACTAACAAACACATATTGAATAACACCTGTGAGTGCTAGACACTGTTTCAGTTCCTGCAAAGAGTGTTGAACAAGAGCAACAACAAAAGCATATAAAAATGTGCGTGTTTTGGAAGTGCTATTTTTGTGGAAGAGATAGAGAATAAGTATAAATAAATAAGGAAAATATTAAGCAGGTTGTTGTTTTTAGGTGCCATCGAATCTGTTAAGATTCTTATCAACTCTCTGAATAACAGTTCTGGATTTTTTTTCCTTTTTTTTTTAATTGGGAAAAACATACTGGGGGTACAAGGAGGTGAGGGTTGGGGGTAGAAGGGTGAGGATGGGCCAGGATGCAGTTGCAGAGCTGCACAGCTAGGTCGGTGGGGGGAGCAGGTGAAGGAAATGATGAGGGTCCAG